ATATTAGTATTATAGAAAACTGATAGATCCATAGCATACATTTAATGGACGTGCATGAAGGCATAATTACAACATCGATTACCTACTTTTCATTACAAATATATTGTTCCATCTTTTTAACCACTGAAAAGAGGGTTAGGCTCTCGATTGGTCCTTTCGTGTCAGCTAATATAATCCCGGAAAATACGGACTGCATCGGACGTATTACAATCAGCCGACAAAAAAACACAAACTTTTAGCAGTTAATGCGTTTAACTTCTTTGGCAACTTGTTATCTTTATTATTTGATTTCTTTTTTTACTTGGATTATTTTGATTTACTGGCGTAATCCTATGTGACAAGACTTATTTAGATAACCAACCGATTTCAATTAAGGGATTTTTCATATATTGTACATAGTATATACAGTAGAAAAAGAAATTAATTATTAATTCAACTAAACAAAAAGTAGTAAAAAGGGAGGTTATGAATAGATGCTATATAAAACAGACATTCTGTATCGGCCACGTTAAATAACATAAATCGCTTAGGGAAGCTATTAGCAACTATATACGAGTCCTCTGGTAATAATTAAATTACTATAAAAGTACAGGGAAGGATTAAAGGTTATATCTCAATAGAGTGTCACTTATGCAGAGAAATTACGTGACCAGGCGGGGAGGAATTATACCTAATACAAACTTACAGGATAATAGGAAACGAAGATTACAATATATATAAATAATTACAGCACAACGATTATATAAGCGCAGAGCGAGTGAAGTACTTGTCCCTTCCAGCTATCGACAAAGCTAAATCAGTCTGCTTCATTTTTAGCATCAGCGGTAGTGGATGGCTGGCGATATGAAAGCCTTTGCGAGCCGACTAGCGGATCGCCTGGAAGATTGCCTAAACTGGTGTTCGACGAAGCTTGGCTGAAAGGGTGGTTGGACCAACTCGCGTACGTAGATGATGATTGCGTGATCATCCAGATCAATAACAGTAAGAGTACGATACTGTATGCAAGGAACGTACCGAGTTGAAGTTGACTCGCCTGTATAGGCAACTACATAACACGGATTCAAGGATAAGGCGTATGACCGTTTTGCTCTCAGAAAAACAGGCGTCTGAGATCCTTTTGCCACAAAAGGATAGACGTTCTAAAGATTTCTGTGTGCTAGACAAGAATTCCTAAATAAGCTGAGAATCGAGCTCAAGCTTCCTGGCTGGTAAATCCTGGCTAATGTGCCTAGAACCGCGAAATCGGCTATTTTTGCTAACCTTGTTACAACAGCAAGAGTCGATTCTTACGCCAAATTAGCTAGAAGGGACCTTGATTATACGCTAGTGAAGCCTGACATCCGCTTCCGAAAGCACGTCCGCTAAAAGGAGAGTGCCGGACGTTGTTGCTGCTTGGGCAGAGGGCATAACGAGGTTAACAGTTGTTTTTGTTACGACGATTCTAAGAAAGAATCTCTAACAGCAACGCTTAATCGTGGTGGAATAATGTAGGTGATGTAACGGAAGTATATAGGATAATGTTATAAATAGGAGGAAGCTTACAGCGTTGACCGATACCAGCCGAGTTGTTGATACTGCTAACCTGTCATCGGGGCCACCCAACCTAAAATCGTGTGGCAGCTAACATTGCGCTTTTTTTCGGACATGAGCACGTGGAGCTCAGCACGTACGTGATAAGATGTGGACAGCGGGTAAAGCTAAACCCACTGGGCGCTAAAGAGTACCGGCCGCAGGAACAACACATCATGCCGGATTAGCATGGTCGAATTATAGTGAATCAAATACCACAGTATTAATATATGAATTAATAGACAACTACGGTTATGTAGGCACAGAACCTCGTGATCTCGAAGCGCTCGTTCTTGCCAGCTAACGACAGAGTAAAGCGAGTACTGTATATATACATATACAGTAAATGGCTAGTCGCTATAGGAAATTCCATTAGGCTTATGCCAAATCAAGCGTGTTACGCATTTTATCGCGCTTTAATTACGAAATAAATTCAAACTAGAAGTTTTGATGGCGACGTGATAGGAAGGCGCGTACGCGGAAACGAGGGTAACTGAAGTTAATGAATGGTGGGTCTATACTGGTACTGCGAAGTACTACATCCTTTAAGACCTTAATATGAATTGGTTGCAACAGTGATGAACGTCGCTTTTTCACGAAAGGGGGAGCAAAACGACATACATCTTACCGACCTGGTTCCTGGGAGTAGCTGGAAGAACCCCTCGCCACTTCCAGTTGTCTCGGTTGCGTATCTGGAGAACCTCATGTGGAAAAAGCTTGCAGGAGAACCTAGCATGGAAAAGGTCACTACAAGAAGGAAATCCTACGCCCTTTCTGCGTAGATACATACACCCAGTTATTTGGTGGGTGCTGGCTGCTAGCGGGATGCGGCATGAACGTCGCATCAAATCGGATAGAACAAGGACAAATGAGCGGAAAGAAAAGCGGGAGTGGCGACGAACCGTGCGGCGGACGTCCTAGCAATCGGTTCAGAGTCAAGGGCTGGGAAACGAAGAAGAGTAGCAGCACGCCAACCGAAAACAGGAAATAGACTGCCTTACACATTTATCCGACATATCTTCCCTTGCTTTTCTTACTACAGCTACTCCGACTATCCACGCTCAGCGTCCCACTTCTCTTGACTCGACGCGAACCATGTTGCGGCACCGACCAGCCTCTGACCAGTTTCTACTTACGAGTCGTCCGTGCAAAAGCAATGGGATTAAAAATTTACAACCCACTGCCACCGTCTGCTCACAGGACGGAGATCTTAAAGTCACAGGGTACTCGAAGACTGGCAGAGCTATGGGCGAAAGCCCGCAACTCGTTGGGTTATAGTACTAACGGCGCTCGCTTCCCAGTATATGCGTGTCAGTCTGGGATCCTTGTACGTGTGTATGTGGCGTCAGGGTTTGGGTGAAAGGGAATTGCACTAACAGGGTACGCGCGCTCGTAAAGGTTGTGTGCTTTCCTTCGTCGACTACTGTTGACGCACCGGGGCCACTGCCTCCCCGCTCAGACGCTGATGCGGACAACCGCTTCGAAGTTTTGCTTTGAAAAGAAACACAAAAAAATAAGCAAAATAAAAGAGGGCGAGGGCTTCTTACTGTCACATACGATGAGGACCAAGGAGACCGGTTGCGGATAATGATAGGAAAGCTGGGCACCGTCTTCTCGTGGAAGAGGAGAGATGCGCCTTCTGCACGGATCCATGCTGTCGACTTCGTTATAATACTTCCGTTTCCGGTTCGTTCTGTGAAGGGAGCGATACTAGCGACAAGAGTAGTAGGCGAAGGCAAAGACGATGCCCTTCACATTCATGGTCTTGCCTCCAAGAGAAGGGAAAATGGGGTAGTATGAAACGAAAAAAGGGTTGAGGCCAGCACCAGGAACTACGTTGCGTCATCCAGAGAAACCCGCCTATGGGTCGGAACTGCATCGAGAAAGCATCACGAAGAGTGATCATTGTATGCTCGCAGAACCCTAAAAGACAGTGTATATCCAAGGTGCATGCACACATACTTGCCCGTTAAAAACGAACTTGCACGTTACGTACATCTTTGCATCAAAGTGTATTAACTGTTACCTAATTCTATAAATACCTTTGAAATTAAGGATGCAATGGTTGCGTGTTACCTTTTAATAATGCTAAATTGGAACGTCGCCAAGAACACAAAAGCTTTTTAAAATTCACAGCTTTCTTCTTATTTTTTTCATCTCCTGGAGTCGACAATGCTAAATTGGACTGATAAAAGGGCAGTAACTTTTTGTTTGTTGTAAAACAACAATGTTTCCAGTCTCCCAGGGTCTTCCAGAGATGGTCCATTGAATCGACTGTTTCTCTTCTTTGCTGATTTTCTGTATTGTCTCTATGTGTGAGCTAACATGTTTCATCCAGCCATCGTCCTATTCCGGCCTGGTCTTGTCTTGACATTGCCAAAAGTCGTTTTTGGTTCCTTCTCGTCTTCATTCTATCGCACGGCTCGTTAGCTGGGCAGCAGCATAAACGCAAAAGAGGAGTGAGCCTCCAGCCAAAAGCTGCCGAAATCCTCCGCATAGTGGACAGCAAGACACCCCTGTACTACTATACATACACACACCGTTGGCGAAGCCTCATTCGTCTCACTCAGTTAGGCTTTTCTTTCCCTGTTCCCTCTGTTTCCTTCGAATGAACCACTTCCAGCAACGTCAGCTTATCCATCAGCGCAACCTGCCAGTCTATCTTTGGTTTTAGGTTGTTAGATACCTTTACCGTCGTTAATAGACGTTTCATCATTGAGTTGCTTGCTCCATCTCTCTTCGTCTCTACGCTATTTGCGAACTATTTCGTATAACGTATAAAGGATAAACATGTCAAGTCACCTTCAAAGCAGTTTGCCGTTTAGTTGAAATGGATTCTTTTTGCTTTGTACAATTTCGTTAAGGATCATAAGAATCGTAATATAACTTTTCTTCTAGTTTCGACATTTGGCATATAAAGTATTGGAAATAATCAATATTACAGACTATTCTGAGCTTTAAACAACTTCATTGCATTAATATCATAGAAAACAGTCACAGTTTTAGTAGCCAGACTTAGATACTAATAACAATGGCGTTATAAACGGGAAAACACGTACTATTGTGCCAATTATATGAACTTGTTTTAGGTCAAGCATTTGCAAAGCAGGAGTTTTGTCTAGGGTGCAGTAACCGTCACGCCGGCACACGTCTTCGTGCTGAAGTGATCGAATTGTGCACACGTATAAATGTCATCGTGTTATCTATTAGATTTTTCAAGCGAAATGACATACTCTGCACGTTTAATGACAAGTTCCTTCTTAACCACCGAGTTAACATATAAGGAGCTCGCGTTATCGTTGGAGAAAACAAGTGCTCTGCCATGTTCAGCATATTCAGTTCCCGTTTCCAGCTCGTAGAACAACGGACGATCCCAGTGGGTGGTTCTTATAAATGCTATAAACAGATGCACTTCTGCGTTAAGCTGACGTGAACGATTTCATGCAGCGCCCAACTTGTGACTTTTCCCTAGCAAGAAGCATAGAATCGTAGAAAGAAGAGAAAATCGACGAACACGAGAAGACGTTCGATTGCGAACGAATCCTCTTACAGGATTTCGCTCGTGTAAGTCGTTTAGGGTTTCGAAAATTCGAAGAAACCGATGGACGAAGACCATTTGATTTTCGTGTATGACCAATACGGTAACAACAGCGCAATACGAGCTTAAACAATTACATACTCAACTAATAATGGGAACATCCATGCTGTTACTGTGGGAAATTCATAGTACTGCACACACTTGAATTAACTAGTGCTACCGACTAAAATGTTGCTGGCAAAAAAAACTTATGTTTTAATATGTGTATCTAACGAATGTGACACTAATAATTTGAACAGTATGACATCAACGCAAAACCTGCGTTGCTTGGTCTACTAACGTATCTGCATTTTACGTTAAAAAACAAAAGACACGCAATGCAGACCAACATGGTAACAGTAAGACTATTTAACTAACATTTTTTGGACCCTTCTCTGCTACTACCTGCCCTATTATTGCTAGTGTTTGCGCTTTAACCGGATCGGTGTCAATTGGTTACCATTATCCTATATACGAGAACAAGGTAGAATGCAATAATAGAAAAGGAAGAACAGGTTAAGTCATTAACGAGATAATCGTTTGTAGGATGACCAAATGCTAATAAATATCTTAGAAGAAGATTCGATGAGAGGAGCAAAATCGTCATTGGCGGGAAACTGAAACGAAGTGAAACAAAGTAGGGCAACCATGAAGCGACTTCGCTTTCTAAAATACGTTTGTCGAAATGAGTTCGCTCAGATGAAATCTGCTTGAAGAAGAATTCAATCAGTCTGAAAGGCCCATTTTCGAGATCCGCTTTACCTGTTTCCAGTGATCGCCTCCAGTAGAGGAGAAACAACTAAAGTGGTATCCAGGCCAACTGATACTGCGACGGATCCGGTACCTGGGCAACTGTCTAGGAAACTAGTTCAAACCAAACGAAATCCGGGCCGAAGAAAAACTCTAGGGAGTCCTGGTAAGCGAAATCAACTATATGTCCAAGGATTGCCGCTGACAAAAAAGTTTTAACGAGGCATGTGAGTAACAGAGCTTCGTCACGTCCAAACCATGAATAAACAAAAATTGGGCCTCATGAAGACGAAGTTACATCAACCATTGAAACATTGATTTCGATCAAAAAGTGTTATCATAAGTATATAATAAAAACAACAACAACAAAAAGATTAAAAGGAATAGTATACAACCAACACGCTCTGAAGCGTTGGCGAAACTTTGTTTATCGACAGCTTCACTTCAACGAAGCGCATGACGAAAACCGTATTATAAATATGGCACAATCGATTTCCGAATAGTCCCGTAAGCTGTTGTTATTCCGAATTTATCCTATCCCCTATCAAATAAAAACCTAAGCTTACCTTTTCTTTATACGAGAAGCAGATCTGATCTTACGCCAAGGTTCTCCAGACATCCAACGTCTTATTTTGTTCCATGGACAGGGAAGCATCAACGAATGAGCACACGAGGCGGTTATTTACGAAAATAAGTAGTACTGACAAATTACTACTTCTATTCCATAATAACTTAATATCGTAAGTTCAAATTGATCGTTACGTCAAATAACACAATGCCTGCTAAAGCATTATTAATTTTTTAATGAAGTTGCTGGCAGTTGAACCCTCCGTCCTTTTTTCGACGCGTACGCCAAAAGCGTTTATTGAGTTAGTGGTGACGCCAAGGTCCTAGCTTCTACACAGTAAGCTTTATTCAAACACTCGTAATGAGGTTTTCGGATAGTAACAGATTTCGGAAGCTTTTGGCTTTTTTTTTGTTTATTCTAGACAAGCAAAGCCCCTCATAAAGTCATTTATCGTGCAGTTGGATGTTCTAGAGATAACGTCGGATATGACCAGACTGAAGGAGAGAATTTCTTACAATATTGTTGCTTATCGTTTACGCAAACGCTGTAAAGACGCATTGACAATAACTTTAGTTAGTTAGTTAGTTGAATTCACGTTAACTGAAACATCAGCTAACAAATTGGGCCACCCCTTTGCGGTTAATCAGCGATTTTTAGGTAAGCAAGCGAGTATTTCAGAAAACTGATGAGTGTTCCCAAACAAAACTAGCTAACTTTCATGGACTCGTTATTATTTATTCTACTATATCTCATTAGTCAATTGTCCCCCTATAAATGTTTACAGCGTGATATCGTATTATCTATTCAAGCCATTTGGTGCTTTATCAGTGTGCAGATAAAACGAATGTGTGTAGTTAGTTACCTAGAAAAATGTTCAATACGGTCTGAATGCAGAGGTACGAGAGGAACGGCTGGTAGCACTCAGTCGATACGAGTAAACCCATGTAACATGTCCATCAGCCGTTTCGTGCACTGTTTCAGCTCGCGTCCTTCGGAATAAGTCCGATTTCTTTATGTCCCAGAGACGGAGATTACGACACTGTCGTTTTATATGTCAAACCTTTTCACTTATATTCGCAACTCTCCACTGTCAACGGCACCTGGCATTTTCCCACTGTTCCTTTATGACCGACAAATTCATGTTGACGACTACGTATCAACTGAAATTAAACAAAATCTATTCAGTATCTTGTACATTATATCCACGTATATATAATTCAGTATGCCTCTTGCAGCGATTTTGATGAAGTAGCCACGCCCGAAGTTCCTATAGATTTACACGAGTTCACGCAGAGGATTTGGTGAAAGATCTCATGGAAGTTTTCGGCCGGCTCCGACTAACAAAAGATGTGCTAGACCATAGAAGGTCCGCACACACTGTCCAGAAGGTATCTGCAGATAGAACTACATATAACGATAATCGTCATCATCATTAGAACAACAGAAATAGCCTGCACTGGTTGTTAATAGTGACTTCTCCGTCCTTTCCTGCCCCGAAAACGCCTACAGATACGTTCACGCACAAATGCAATTGTAATAGATGTCTTTTTGGATTCACTTTAGTTGGCTGAATGAATGGCGCTGATAGATGAGTACATCATACCGGAAATGTTCCACGGACGGCAGAAGTGGTTGATGCACAAGCGCTGGCCGCAGTCGCGGGGACGACTTCCGTTTTGTTTCGCTGTTAGGTAGACGTGGACGTATTCCTCCGAAAGCGTAAGCAAGTGGACATATCGCAAAATTTTTCGCGAATCGCCGCCTCCGGTCGCTTGTTTACATTCACCTATCTCCATGTTAGCATTGTATAGTTTGTATGCTTTCCAGATGTCTGCTCCACTATGCATCCTATGAAGCTATATGTGATGGAAAGGCTGAGATATTCATGGGGTGGCAGGACTGAAGCGAGTATCTAGACTAACGGTCAACAAGTTTTAGTAGCCTATCAGATTAGTAGGCCAGCTAACCAGTCTCACATCTGTACTCAATTTTTTCGTTCTGTTCATTCCCAATGCTTCAAATCCTGCTATTATACTTTATGAAGAACTAAAAAGATGCCTTGGAAGCGTTACGCCCTACCCGAGCCCTCCTTGTTTCTACGTCGTTGCCTGTTTTATGGCTTTGCGACACTTCTTTCTATCGAATGATTTTGTCGAAACTTATTTATGAGGTGGCTATTTTTTACGCAAATAGCATTTCTCGCTGAGTGGTCATTGCCGTGGCATATATTTTTGTGGGTGTGGAGGGGCTACGTAGGAGCGGAGGGAATGTAGTTGTGGCTGCAATGGTGGCAAATTGTATTCTAGAATGGTGAGTGTGGAGTATGGTATTTGCTGTCTAGTCGATGTTGGTTGTGCAACGATAAGGGAAAATCAAAAAAAAGGAACATCGAAGGCACACATGAAAAGTAACGCTCTTTAGCTTTACAGCACCGCCTTATGTTTTGCTCTTGCTCACCATCTATGCAAAACCGCTCGTATACGAACTAGCAGTGGACGCGGCAGCAGAATGTCAACAGATGGAAAAATGTCCTAATGGACTTTTTGTCTCATTTGGACACCAACCTCGTACGAGATAGTTCACACTACCTCGTATCTACAATGGGCTTACCGCGAAGACCTGCAAGTTTAGGAGTAGAGTATGGATCTCCTTGCATGGTCCATCGTTTCAGATCCCCAGTAGAGTTGCCCGCAGACAGGCAGAATGTGAACGCGCAAGTAAAATGTAAAGGAGACAGAAGACGCAGTTTGGTCATTATGTGAAATATGTGTCTATGTGTTTAGTTTCAGCTCTTTTAATTCTAAAGTTTGCTCGTGCCAGATGCCACATATTCAAACGTTCATCTGTTTTATACCTTTTACATCTTTATCACACCGTGTCCTTTAACAGTTTCACTTAAATGTGGTGAGTCACAAAATCATCCTTCGCTCGAATTATAATAAGAAACATTGCCATACAGGATACGCTGCTAAGTTTTGTGAAAATTATAAGAGCTACTGAATTCTTACTACGCAATCCAATCGCATGTGCCGACGCACAGATGGCCAAAAAAGCGTTTAATCGGAGGTTCGAACAACGTTTGCTGCATAAACCCTCATCACCCTCTTCTCGAGCCTTTTACCTGTGCTTCAAAAACATTGTCAAAGACTCTATTGGTTATTCGAAATTATAGAGCAATCGTTAGACAGACAAGTAGAAATTGTTTGCTCAGGAGATAGAGCTAGCTGTGCGCTTAGGGCACATTTGGCAAATTAGTTTAGATGCTCCCAACTCTGCCCGCTGTCCAACGGTCGTTTCTCGATTAAAATTATTATGACTGCGCAAAAGATCACCACTGGACTCCTTGGAAAATTAGAAAATCTAAAAATTAGTCGATTGACTAAAAAAATTGGTAGATAATATTCACTGATTTATTGTCTTCCGAACAAACGTTTTGATTAGATATATTATTTTACCGTGCCTGATAGCGACGTATAAATGAAACAAAAAGCAGTAATCGATTGAGCAGGCGTGACTTCGAAACATGATGACTAGTAAGGCAAATCCAAGACGAAGGCTTTCGTCATAATTACGTATCATGAGCTGCAAATATCTAATTAATGTAGGCGTTCTCTAAACCTGTAAATCTGTTAACGGGGTCTTGCCTTTACAGTTGACTACCATTCAGTGTACTCGCTGCTTGCTGGGTCGTCTTGTAACAACAAAATCCCAGAAACGCTTGAAGCCGCAAACCATTTTCGTGCGTTTGCTACCGTCCCCTACCCAATATCGTGGTTTTTACTAAGGCCTCAAACCGTCTGGCTATTTATTAGTTAGAAACAAGTAGTTGCTATTTAGAATTACTGGCTTCAATGCCCGTTTCGCGGAATTTGATCGTAGGAATCGAATTGTTCCTTAGACACGAAAACACCTTCCGTACAATTATACGTTATTGTGGATTTGTTACTGCCATCAATACTAGCACAGTAAAGCATAATCAAGTTAAGCATTAGTGTCACAAAACCATTCACCTAGGCAAGAGGTGCATTTGCAGGTCATCAGTACTAGCCCGTCCATGTTGAATTTATTGAAGCCGAACGTGAAGAAGGCAGCACTTCGATACGACTCGCTCGGCTGTGGTCGCTGTAACTGTAGTGTACAGTTTAAGATAAAAACAGAGAGAGATAGTAGAATATTGTTGAGAATATTTTAACTAACATTAATTTATTAAGAAACAAATGCTTTAAGAATATCGTAATAGAAACTTACAGCTTTTTTTACAAAAACACTTCAATGCAATTTAGCTATTTGACTAAGGATTGTTCACATCAATATTAGGCAGTGAAGACGTTTAGAAGTAAGCTCAGCCTAACATGCGATGACATTTACATACTTTCCTAGATATGTATAGAGCAAAACGTATGTATTACATATACTCTGTCTATGGACAGAAACAAACGGGTCTGTGTTAATTGTTGTTCTTCAAGCCAAAGTTGTAAAGCCTTTCCCCGTTTTAACGATTGGCGCTCGCTGTCGCAAAATCGGTCTTCAATTACTTTCATTGATAACTCGGCTATTATCAAACACGCTTAATGTAGAAAACGCAACCAATTCGCAGTTATCGTACCACTCGGTTGCTTTTCGTTTCTCCCACCTATTTTTGTAGCTTTTAAGCCTTCATTTTAAAATTTGAGCTTCACAAACCCACCAGCTGCTAATAATGAACTTGTACATGTTTGCCTATGCTGCAATCAGGCACTGGACGTGGAAAATTTAAGATATCGGACTTGAGCAATTTTGTAAAATTTGGTCGTTGCAACGTTATTTCTAGAAAATGATCACATTAGTCGGACAGCATAAGCTATCTCGTGTTGCATTGGGACCCGGTGAATGGTACTCGTGCCATTCTTTTTATAAATGATGCATGCTGTTGGACTGGAGAGAGATACTGGTGTTGCGGACCTTACGAGGCCGCGCCACGAGGAACAATGGCTGGCCTAAACTGTTCGGACGCCGGCCTATCGTTTTGGAGCCTACGCTTTAGTGGTTTGACTTCACGCGCACATCTAGCATCTAATGTCTAATAAGGAATTAGACGAGAAAATGAGATGGCTGCATTTCTGGTTAAAAACAAATTGCAGCAAGAAAGCTTTCATGTACAGCACGCCGGTGTATTAATTTCGGTACATAAGTTTCTGCTAATGCAGTTCAAATAGGAAAGTTTCAACTTACTGAGCTCGGACCTATATGATAAAGTTGCCATCTATAAATATACAACCTCTAACAGCATCCTTAGCTGTTATTGAAAGTAGCTGTAACTGTTTCTGTGCTGATTGTTAATGCTGAAATGGCTTGAAGAAACACCGAAAGGGTCTACGTCACAGTCCACGTATTCCATAAACAAATACCATATGATATAACTAGCCTGGAAAAAGGTCCTACGAAGATTTACGAAGAGAAGTCCTAATCGATATTTGTTCTACTAAATGTTATTCAACGAAAAAGAAAGCGCAATGGTGATCATCTTTTGGTAGCATAGATGTGACACATATATTGTGGCCAGTAAAAGCCTTGTTTCTTTAAGTTTATGTAATTTGTTATGGTTTAAATGTTGATTAGTTAACCAAGAGTCCAGATCCAGTATTTCTATAGAATTACAGTAATAGAAAGGTAAATGCGGGTGGTGATCAATGGAGCCGCATAATACGGCTACGTACCTTCACATATATCCGGCAAAATTGAAAAGAAACAACGCTACCCTCTTAATGACTAAAAAAAAATTGCTTCGAAAGGAACAGCGAGCCTAGACGATCTTCGTCGACAGAACACTCTAGACACCATAGACACCTCAGTGGCTAGAAGTTTTTTTTTGGCTCTTCGCAGCATTACTGAAGAAGGTACAGGCTAGCAATGGCAGTAAAGCAGCTAACATTTTGTGCTAACAGCTAAGAAAAAGGAAAGAAAATCTTGAGCCGGGTAACTTGAGCAGCTCGTATAGATGGTGCTTTTCAGTGCGTGCTCAATTATACGGCAGACTTAAGTGTGCTTACTGTTAGAATTTTTTTTACCAACTGCTGGTCCCCAATATATGATGTTTTTCCCTATCGTGTCGAGGACTACGGATCTGTAGCATTTACGTATTACTGTACGTGGTCTATAGAGTGCATCAGCCTTGACCGTCGTCACCGTTTTATTTTCTGCTATATATTTCCAGCCCCTTTACACATTTGTGAGACACCCTTTATCTTTCTTTATCCGATTTTCTGTGAGATCGACTCGAACATAGTCACCTGAGAGCTAGCCACGAGCCATATAATACAATAACTTGAATTAGGTACTGAGATGTCGAACTCCTAATGATGGCTTTTTAGAGAAAGCTTAGTTTTTAGAGATCGGACTCTCTGATAGATTCCGAATCGAAAGCCAACAAGAAACAGCTAAAGGTCAATTGGCCGCTTTCGTCTTTATTTATACAGAGTTGACGCCCAACCTTAAGCTTAAATAGCTATGTAGTTTTCAAGCCATCTATCATAATGAAGAACGAAACTAAGTGTTTTCTGCTGAACTGCTAAAGCCAGAGCGGGTGACGCGGTTATCGACCGACGTCTGCGTTATAGCATAGCAGACGTCTAGCCGTCTAGCTCTTTGTTTGTTGTTGCTCTCTGAGTGTTTTCTGCATTCGGTAATGAAGCAGACACCTTGTCTCCTCCTGGAATTAGTTTCAGTTGACATCTGTGAGCTGTAAACGTGGACAAATCACCAGCAAACGGCTTTTCCGAGGAACGCAAACGTCCGTCGTTTGATTTGGTTGAAAGATCTTGGGCTTAAAGGCTATGTATGTAGATATTTAAATAGCTCTTACTCGTGTCTAACAGTGATCAAACAGACAAACGGATCAAGGAAGCTACTGCTATCTTCGAAGGCAGAATGAACATACAGAACAACATATTAGTGTTAAAAAAGAATATCTACCTCACCCGCGCGAATGTTATGCTAGGAGCACAATAACAGCATATAAGTCTTCAGTCGCGTTAACGGTAAGCCTAATAGCAGATGTCACTAACATCTATGCGTCTTTAAGGTTATCTTTATAGAGGGCCCAATCGCCTCTATTTAGTAATTTACTCTTGACTGCAGTTAAGCAGATTGACTGAAATGTATAATTAAAGATGGTGACAAAAACATGCGGCATGCCTTTTGATACACATGCAAGAATCATATGGCTGACAGTGCGTGATGGTGACTGAAAAAATTACTACTTTCGAAGATATCTTCCAGGCGAGGATTCGCTACAAAATTCCTTTTCGGAGAAATGGAGAAAAGTTCAGAAAGATTTTTCCTCACTCGTTGCCGTCAGTTAAGTGGTTAGGTGCTAATCACTCTATTGTTCAGTCGTCTATGCCTGAAAGGAGGGCAGGATAAGTAAAAAATGGTAAGGGGAAATCAGTTAAAAAAAAATTTTGTTCGTGATGACACCGCGATGAATAGTATAAGCTGTTTTCAGACCGAGTTTTAACTTATGTTTAAAGTAATACGTAAACTGAAGGTGCGAAGTACAAAATCGAACGATATCTGCAATTAGCGAGAATAGAATGAGTGAGCAGAAGTCACGAGCTGGGTCTAGCGGGCTCTATCCGGAGACTTTAATTAGTTGGCCATTTTCAAGCAACTCCCAGAAGTTAGTGACGACCACGGCATTTCGGAGCCTACGACCCGGCTTTCGCAATGAGACCCTCCGACGAAAACGTTTGTTAACGAAACGTGCTAATGTGGCTGTCGGATGCAACTCATAATGCCGATTCAGCTCGATCAGCTTTTTGCTTTCTGAGTTTGTATCTGTGATCTACACGGACTAGCATTCACTGGTTTGGCCTGAGTCGACCCAAACTCCTTGTTGGTTAAAAGCGGATGGCGCGGGGCAGCGCAAGCCCCTGCTGGCATTATTTAAAAGTTTAGATACAATTCGAGGTCGAGCTGAGAGAAGGAGAGTCGACGATGGCCGTTAGAGAAACTTGACGCCGACTAGTTGCTTTACCCAATGCCAGGCCCTGCATTCGCCACGGTAGCTATGAGCGTAGACCTCTGTATCTCCTTATCTCTTTAGCACTAACTTATTCTACTTTCGATGTGTATACAAATTGTGCTGAGGAAGTCGCGTTGGTCCAATCGGCTGCAAATGAAAAGCCAAAGTAACCAGAGCTATGCAGAAGCTATGCAGTTACTCACAAGAGTTAAGTTCATCACATGGCTAGAGTAGTCATGCAAAAAAAGAAAGGGCATTGCATAATTAGCCTAAGCATGCAAACAATACCTTCGCGGTGTTACGGTAGTCTATAATTGGTAAGTTAATTTATTCTACGACACCTAAGGTTTGCCTACCTACAAACCTAAGGTTTGCCCACCTACAAACTTAAGGTTTGCCCACCTACAAACTTAAGGTTTGCCTACCTACAAACTTAAGGTTTGTCTACCTACAAACTTAAGGTTTGCCTACCTACAAACTTAAGGTTTGCCCACCTACAAACTTAAGGTTTGCCCACCTACAAACTTAAGGTTTGCCCACCTACAAACTTAAGGTTTGCCCACCTACAAACTTAAGGTTTGTCTACCTATAAACTTAAGGTTTGCCTACCTATAAACTTAAGGTTTGCCTACCTATAAACTTAAGGTTTGCCTACCTATAAACTTAAGGTTTGCGTACCCTTTTTTGTTAACCGAACAGTTGCCTCAAAGGCTACGAGCCTTTTTCTGTACCCTCATATTTTTCCGGCCTATAAGGCCAAATGACTATACTTAGTAAGTACAATCTTAGTCCCTTCAGAAAAACGTTACTCTTGTATAATAAAGTTAACACATAATAAAGTTAGTAATTAAAAAGTGGGAACAATTTTAATATTTTCTCCTGCTGCTTCTGAATGTATTCGGTTTAACTCTGTTCCTCTTCGTTATTGGTCGCCAATGCGACAAGAAAGGAACGCATCTATCAATAGAGACTTGTTTAGCTATAAAAAACGGTGCACGAGAATTCACTTTATGTAAAGCGAGATTTGAGTGCACAACTCCGTTGGATTTTAGTACCACATTGTTTCTCTAATCAAGTCGACGACGGCATTGGTCAGTGCAATTTTGGGCCCCCTGGTAACAGCACCAGACCCCTGTACTGTTTGTAAAGATCTTATGCTATAATCTCACGTGGTTTCACTTCCAAGATCTAACATTTTATAGAGCGTGTATAGAGAAAATTTCTTCCGAACATCCATGATGCTGCTTCTAAGGCACCATGGATTTTCAGAATCACTGATTTGCTAAATTTCCTTTATAATCTCACCTTTAAAATATCGTAACATTCAAGGCCTGGACGAAGTGCGGAAGGCCAAACATCGAGAAGTCATTGCGATACCTAAACTTATCCGTAATATTTAAAATGTGGCGCATGAACATATGTACGCACCGTTTTTTTGTAATGTTTTCATATGAACATCATACGCTTGAATCTGTGATGTAGGTGAGGTCTTCATTAACATTCAGTCTTTTATTTCCTTTACATCACTGTAAAAAAGGGAACTTGATTTCGTTTTCAATTTTGCAATAAAAAAGTCAATTGAGCTGGCAGTATATTAGTCAATACAGAAGTACGTCTACTGTTATGCAGTGCATTAGAACGCCTCGACACTCACTCGCACGAAAACCCTCAACACAAGGATACATTCACAAGGACAATCCCACTGCGGCCGCAGATAGTAAAATGACCGGGTTCTAAACTAAGCTATCTCTGGACTGAGATGCCCGCATTGTGTGGTACGGCACAATACTTTTATTTGACAAGCCATTATGCCGAGGAGACGCTATTTTGGAATTTCTTCGATAGCGTGTCTGCTAGTCAGAACTGCGTCAGTGCTGCTGCATATGGCCATAGGACATCCAAGTATATATACTTTCCACGAACGCGTTGGGTTCTCAACCAGGCGATTTTTCTAAAGGGCCTCCCAAGGGTGTTCGATGCTAAACGCATTTGAACCCGAAAAGACACATCTTCAATGCTCCTTGACTAAATTGGGGCGAGCAGGAAGCGTCTCAGCTTTAAGGCTGCTCTTTACTTCCTGATTTTCATACAAGAATAGTCGATGGTATGCCTGAAACGCACGATATTGACCGACTTCAGGCTGTCTGCTGCATGTCATTGTCGTCAGACGGTACGATAAGAATACTATATTCTTATCGTCTTAATAACAAAAAAAAACATCTGGAATTCATAACGTTTAGCAGTGGCAAACGAAACACAGACGCAGAACCTACTGAACATGAATTTAACATATTTTGACTGCCTTGCTTATTAAACATCTTGTTCCCGGCATTCGTATAATGTCATCGCGAAACTTAGACTAGCATATTTTTGATAAATTTTTTTCACTATGCATTCTATATTCCACCATTTTTCAGTGATACTGTTTTATGACAGTTGCATATTACACAAGATAACTATGTACTTCAAGGTTGATTTCTCATTGTTCATCTGTCTCATCACGTGTTACCCTCATCTTTGGGTAGCAGACGCTAGCATCGCCGTTCTGTGCTATCGTCTGCACTTGGCGTAGCCTTTGCTTGTTTGCCGGAATATCATTCGACAAAGCCACGCGGTGATCTTCTGCTCAGCTCGACATCTTTTTTCCCCCTTTTTCTTCTAATTTTTTTCACAGTTGCGACAGGTCCGCACTGCCGACAGGCATGTGGTTATCCTAATGTACGGTGTTGACCCCGCAATGTCGCCTGTTTTAATATCCTACTCGTTAGTCGCAGCTCGGTCTGATCCTATCTCCGTAAAATCAGCTTATCTGCACCAGTGGAATGGAAAAGTATGTGCTCATTGTGAAAGACGCTGTGGCCTACCTCAAGATCTTTCTTAACTCGCACATACGCCGCGTAGGCGCCCTTTCAGATCTTCAGTCCTTTTTCCATCTACCATGATGGGATGAGACTTCATTTCTCTTTGTTCTTCGAAGTTTGCCTTTAGCTTGGCTTTCACCTAGGTCATTTTCCTTCTAGCTGCCACGCAGTAGCTACACAGCGGGATTAACCCGGACCCGGTCCGCAAGACAGCGAACTGTGGCCTCAAGAATTTATGGAGACCAACCTGTGTATGTATGCATCCTTTTACTAGCTGTGTGAGTATCTTATTGCAGCTATTAGCACTATCGCACCTAGTATACGTGTATGTGGCTGACTAGGTTTTTTGTGTGTCTTCAGCCTTTATGTCGACAGAACATTAAAGGAGAACATTTGCCACAAGGGGTCCCAATAGATTCTCGACGAATAAACGCTTCTAGAGAGATATGTACAGGCAATTCCAAGCACATAACGAGGGAATACGACGCTCTTCACAGAAATGCAAATAGGAAAAAAAATTAGGGCGAACAACACGAAGACTTGAGGCAAGGTCGTAGTAATGACAAAGCCATCGAGCAGCACTAAGGGAGAAGCGTAGCGGCCCAAGAAGTAACTGGCCGGCCAACCCAACGAGAGACAGACAATCGAAGGCTGGGCTGCTGGATTGGAAGGCAGCGACTGCGAAGGAGAATTTACAGTCATGGTAGAGAAGGAAATCCATCGAGAAGGATTACTCAGACGGCTGATTCACTCGGGTATGTGCAGCATGGAACGGTGCCAGTCCCACAGCTGGCTTGATAGGCTTTCTCCGCTGTTCAAACCGACTGAGGGTTTGTTCTGCCCCGTCTCATTCGGTTATTAGTTCACCCTGTTGCGTCCACACCGAGACGTAGAGCATACTTGGCGAGGCGTAACCCAGGGCATCTCAAGCGATCAGCACTTTTTTTTGACCCCTTCTGAGTTGTCGGTCTTGGTTCTATCACATTTCACTATCCTAGAGACAGAAAATCCCAACACTTGCACTTTCGCCTTACGTCCCTTACTCGCACACTGCCAGTCATGTTACTCATTGTAAGCGCTCTTACCAGTATCATAACATGCTGTAGATGCATTGAAACAACCGGACCGAGCTTAGTCACTGAAGAATGGTCGCAGATACGGTGACCCATACAGATGCTACAGCTGGTTAGTTAAAAGAAGAAAAGCCAGAGCAATCTAAATCGTATCTGCAAATAATCGGTTCCGTAGCAACTGCTGAATCGAGGATGATGTGTTATCACTATTACAATTACTTGTGCTAACAATCCTAATGAGCTTGTATGGAAGAATAAAATGCGCAACACAATTATTCGAACTTTACGCTTTAACAGGACAAATTTCAAGTCTACCGAATTAGAGAAATGTTTTGGCCCTTCTATGACTCTCCCTTTTTTCCCCTGATCGGAGTAATTTACGGAGACTTTGCACGTATGAATCCACTACGTTAGCTCTAGCCTCGTATGTTGGCTATCGTAAGCGAAAGTAATATCGGGCAATCCAAAATACGTA